TAATACAGTTTTTTCCTTTTTTTGGTCACCCCCTGTGTGTGTGTGTGTGTGTGTGTGTGTGTGTGTGTGTGTGTGTGTGTATCATGTGTTACTTATCCATTGATCCACCAATGGATATTGGGTTGTTCTCACTTTTTGATTATTGTCAATAATGCTGTTGTGTTGTGAGTATTGATGTACAAATACCTGTGAATCCCTGCTTTCAGTTCTTTTGGGTATACACCTCAGATTGGAATTACTGAATCATATGGTATTTCTATTTAACTTTTTGAGGAACTGCCAAATTTCTTCCCGCATTGAAGTCTTTTTAAAGCATTGGATTATAAATTCAAACAATATGTTTTTCAAACAATTTATTTACCACTACCAAAAAGATTTTCCTTCTATGTTAAAATGTTTTTTTCATAAAACGTTGTCTATAATCAAGAACAACTTATGAGGTTTTATCACTGCTTATACTGAAAATTCTATTGCTCTCCATATAGTTACAATGAGTTGAATTTCTTGCTTACAGTTAATGCTGAGATTTAGAAGTTCTGTGTTGTCTATGAAGGCACGTTTTTTTGGAATTTCTTCCTTTTTGTCTACCTTCCCTAACTTATTTTGACAAGTCCTTAATGTAACAGCAATTCTCACACTTATTTAAGTGTATTTGCCTCCAAGAGGTGGAGGAATAAAACTAATTTATCATACTATTTTCTTGGAGATGCTCCAAATCAATCAAATGCCCTCTTCTCAGGGTTAAGTCTTCAGGTTTCGTGAAGCATAATTTTCAACATCTAAAATATTTCTCTTGATCTATTAAAAAACTTGAACTGAATGATCAACTTATAGTATCATGCTACAGTTTCTCTTTTATATGAAGTGAATCTGTGGTACAGATAAAATGTTGTCCTTATTTTTAACTCCAGCACAGAATGTGAAAAAGATCTAGCAGATGCATAATGTGAAATCAAGGTGACTAGAATTGTTCTATTATTGTTGTTGATATCAGTGAATATGACAAAAATAAATTTGCTTGAAGGAAGTATTCTTAAATGTACTGGTTCCTAAAAGACAACGCTACCAACATGTTGACAGGTTCAAGAATTTAATTAACCAAATATTACCTGGAAAGCTTCTATAGGTCAACTAATCTTCTAGGATAACAAAAGAGAGGGAGGGTCGGCCGAGTAGGCGTGTTGGTTAAGAGCTGGCTTCGGATGCCAGAGGACCCAGGTTCGGATCCCACATATGAGGGCCAATGACACTGTTCTCTAGCTGAACAACAGCTCAACCTGGAGCTGGGCTGCCGTGAGTCGCCAGCGATGGCAGGTGGGTTGCCATGGGCTACCGTGTGTAGCCAGTAGCCAGCCTGAGCGGCCAGCATCCAGCGTGAGCGGCCATCCAGAAGCTGGTGATTGATCTGCCTCACCTGGGAAGAGAGCAATGATGGTGCCAACTTGGGCCAGTGAAGCAACGTCCTCCACAACTACACTGAAGAACAAAAGGACAGCAACTTGTCTGTTCCCCTTCCCCCAATTCCCCAGCACTGTTCCCTTCCCCTCAAAATTCCCCAATAAAAAAAATCTTTAAAAAAATTAATAATACCTTTGCTGGATATATTATAATTGACTAGTAATTTCTCTCTTTCAATAGTTTGAATATTTGATTCTAGTCTCTCCTTGGTTGTAGAGTTTCTGCTGAAAAGTCTGATGATAATCTAATGGGCTTTCCTTTATAGGTTACTATGTTGTTTCCCTGGCTGCCTTGAGAATTCTTTCTTTGTAGTTAATTTTTCACAGCTACAATATAATTTGTCTTGGAGAATGCGTTTTAGGATTGAGGTAATTAGGTGTTTTGTTTGCTTCTTGGATTCAAGGATCAAGTTCTTTCCACAGGTTTGAAAAGTTCTCACCAGCTATTTGTTTGAATGGATTCTCCACCTTTTTCCCCCTCTCTCCTTCTTCTGGCATACCCATTATTCTTACATGGTTCTTTCTGATGGAGTCAGACAGTTCTTGTAGAGCTCTTTCATTTCTTTTAATTCTCAAGTCTCTCTCCTTCCATCTGCATCATTTCCAGATTTTCTATCTTCAATATCACTAATTCTTTCCTCCATCTGGGCAGCTTTATTTCCTAAGCTGGCTATTTCATTATTCATCTCTTTTACTGAGGTGTTCAGCTCCATAATTTCTGTTTGGTTCTTTTTTAAAATTTCAATCTCTTTTGTAAAGAATTCCTTTTGTTTGTTGATTTTATTTTCTGAGTTCATTAAATTGCCTATTTGTGTTTTCTTGCATGTCGTTGAGTTTTTTCTGAAATGCAACCTTGAATTTTCTGTCATTTAAGTCACGTATTTCCATGTCTTTAAATTTACTGTCTGGAGATTTTTCATTTTCTTTCTGAGCTTCCTTGTTATCCTGGTTATTTATGACAATTAATTAATTATTTCTCTTCCTGGGCATCTACAAGAGTGGATTTTGCAGCAGGTTTATATGAAGCAGTCTTTCTTTTGCTTTCCAGTAGGTGGCACTGAATCATTTTATTTTCTCTCTTGCGCTGCTGTGTTTTATTTTCTCTGGCACTTTTCTGGCTTTTTGCACGGTGTGAGATTTCCTGGGGAGGTGGGCTTCTCCTCTGTAATCACGTCTTCTCAGTCTCCGTGCACCTCCTCCGTGGGAGAATGTGGTGGGCAATGGGGTTCCGAGCCTCTGAAAGCCCAATGCTGCCCCTGCAGCCTGATGGAGTTTGTGTGTCTCAGTAGCCCTGGGTGCCCCTACAGGGATCAGTCAGGAAAGGTGGGGACGGGTTGGGCTGGGAGAGGTGGCAGGTGTGTTTGTAGCTCTGAGCAATGGTGCCTGCCAGCCCACAGCTCCTTCCATCATCGGTATTAGCCTCATTGTGTTTACAGCTTAGGAACTTTTTTTCCAGTTATCAGGGCTGTGGATACTCTGCTCTTTAATCCAACACTGATACAGTTTTTTTTTCTGGGGCTTGCTGCTAACACTGGGAGAGTGTAGGTGAAACAAAGGCTCTGTGGCTTTGTTTTCTGCCTGGCAGTGAGGGCTATTGCACTTCTGTTTGGTCTTTGCCCCAAGGTCTCTATCCCAATCACTGGGCTCAGCTGTATTATATGCTGATCCCTCAGGCAGGATTGCAGGTCACAGAAAGTGCACCTGCAGACTGAATCCTCCCCTCTCCAGGGACCACAGTGAGTTCCAGGCTGCATCCTGAAGCCCTAGTCTCAGTATTTCCCTTTTCCCTCTTCCTCTGTTCACCCCAATTTTCCACCTTCAGATGTTTCAATGCATGGATGTCTCATACGTGTTGCATGGATGTCTCAGACGTGTTTGTATGTTGCATAGGGAATCCTTTTTCAAATTATAGCTGCTCAGTTTATTGTAACTTGCAGGGGAAATTTCAAGAAGCACTGACCATGCAATCATGTTTGTGACCAAAAGTGGTTAGTTTTGTTTTTTTTAAAGATTTTTATTGGGGAATTGGGGGATGGGAACAGTGCTGAGGAATCGGAGGAAGGGGAACAGACAAGTTGCTATCTTTTTGTTCTTCAGTCTAGCTGTGGAGGACGTTGCTTCACTGGCCCAAGCTGGCACCATCATTGCGCTCTTCCCAAGCGAGGCAGATCAGTCGCCGGCTTCTGGATGGCCGCTCACCATGGCTTGAGGTCCACTCTCGCTGGCTGCTGGCCACATACGGTAGCCCATGGCAACCCAGTGCCACAGGGGCTGCAGCCTATACCGTCGCCAGCGACTCAGGGCAGCCCAGCTCCAGGTCGAGCTGTTGTTCAGCATCTTAGCTGTAGAGGGCAGTGTCACTGGCCCTCATATGTGGGATCCGAACCGGGGCCCTCTGGCGTCCCAAGCCAGCTCTCAACCATCGCGCCACTTGGCCGGCCCCAAAAGTGGTTAGTTTTGATTAAGTTCAATTTATCTATTTTTTTCTTGGTTGCTTTTACTTTATGTGTCATATCTAAGAAACTATTGCTTAATCTAATGTACCAATTATTTATACATAGCTTTTCTTCAAGGTTTTTATAATTTTATATTTACCTTTAGGTCTTTGATCCATCTTGAGTTAATTTTGATATGTAGTGTGATATAATGGTCTAACTTCACTCTTTTGCATGTAGACATCAAGTTGTCTTAGTACTATTATTGAAAGGATTATTCTTTCCCCCATTGAATTGTCTTGGCACCATTGTAAAAGAAGAATTGATCATAAATGTATGGTTCATTTCTGGAATTTCAATTTTATTCCATTGACTAATATATTTATCTTTATGTCAGCACCATAGTCTGTCTTTGCAGTATCTTTTAGCCTTGAAATTGGGGCGTGTGAGGCCTCCAACTTTGTTCTTTTCAGGTTGTGGCTATTTTGGGTCTCTTGTATTTCCATATGAATTTCTCAAGTTTGTGGGGGGGAAAAAAAGCCAGTCGGGAGTTTACTAGAGATTGTGTTGAATTTATAGATAGATTTGGGTGTATTGCCATTTTTATTTTATTTGTTCCCCTTCCCCCAACTCCCCAGCGGTGCTCCCGTCCCCCAATTCCTCAAAAATCTTTAAAAAAATTGGTAGCTATAATTATTTTAGCTTTACAGTTGGAAAGACTCAGGAGCCTCTTGGGATGGTTAACCCAAAATGTTGGACCCAAACAAATTGATGACTAGCTGGATTCCAGAAGCCCAAGCTAACAGTAGCTGAAGACCAAGGAGGAGCCTTTCCAGCATCCTGCTGAGAAATACCTTAAGATTAAACCTTCAATTCAAGAAAATTCAGTTAGTGGTAATTTGCACAAGTTTGATACTATAATTCCAAGTTAAATGGCTCCTACTAGAGCCCTACTGAATTCATTAAACAAATATTTATTGAATGCCTACTTTATCATGCAATACATTATAAATACCACAAATAAAAAAAACCCGAACACTCTTTCCCTCTATGGCTTCAATCGATGGTCAAATAATACCTCCCAGACATTACCAAAATAGGAAAAACGTTTTAAAGTATTAGACCTGTCATGAATTTTAATGGAAATCACAAACAGGAGCCTATCACAATTTCAAGTCATAAATGCTGAAAACATACAGTGTGACAACAATAAACACACTTTGGGGTCCCATTAGTTGGAGTCAAAGAAAGAGTAATAACTACTTAGTCCCACTGAATCATTCGCTCTTCTTCAGGAAGAATACTCCAGTTTGGGGAGGCCACACCCCGGGCAAGCCAGTTGAAATCGTCAACGTCGTTCCAATTATTTTTGCTGTTATCTAAACCAGAGCCCTCCAAGTCTTTGTCGATACCCGGGTAGCTCCAGGTGTAAGGGGCGAACTGGATCCCGCTGCAGTCCTCCACGATGGCCCTGCTGGTCACCTGCAGGAAGATGCGGGTGTCTCTCGTGGTGTGTACGCGGAGCTGTTGGCAGGCCGCGGCCAGCACGCACTCACTGCAGTCCTCCAGGAACACAGAGGTGGACACTGGACCGCAGAGCACCGTGCAGCTGCAGGCCTTGGTCAGCCGCTGGGTGCTCGGATTGCCATACAATTTGATCTTGCAGTTGCTCAGTTCGGTCAAAAGAATGTCTCGCTGGTGCAGCTCCTCCGCTCTTTTCTCCAAGACTTGGGACTTGAGGTTGGAGAAACCGCAGACACAGCTGGAGCCAAAGCCTCCCTCCTTCTTCAAGGGCGGCGGGGAGACCAGGATGTCTTCCGCCGCCAGGGCGCCAGGAGCCGCACAGTCTACTTTGGTGGCCGAAGCAGCATCTTTCCTTCGGGTCTTGAAAGCGAAACGCTTCTTGGGCTGTAGTTGCTGGTGCCGGTCGACCAGGGCCGCCTGTAGCTGCGCCAGCACGTCTTTTCTCTGCCGCAGGTCTTAGGAGGCCAGGAATAAAACCGAGTCGTTGAGAAGTTTCTGCAGACCCTGGAGCCGGGTGGCCGCCTCCTCCAGCCGCTCGACGGACTCCCCGCTCTCCAGAAGCTCTTCCATGGCTGCTCGCTCCCGAGCAAAGGCGGCGGCGAAAAAGTCGCTCTTCTCCTCCACCTCCTGGTTCTGCCGCTTTTGCTTCCGCCTTTCCATCTCCAATTGCCTCTATTGTTCTCGTCTCTGAAGCCGCTCCGGCACCAGGCTCCGGTCCCTGTGGGACCCCATGTTTCCGTTCCCCACCGCGGCAGCGGAGCAAATAGCAGTCTCCATCTTGACTCTGTATTGCCATTTTAATATTATGTCTTCCCATTTATGTTAATATCTTTAATTTCATTAAACAATGTTTTGAAATTTTCAGTGCACAGGTCCTGTATTTCTGTTGTTAAACTTATTCCTAAGTATTTAGGAATATTTAGGATTCCTAAGTATTTATTCCTAAGTATTCCTAAGAATACTAAGAATCCTAAGTATTCCTAAGCATTTTGATGCTATTGTAAAGGGAATTGCTTTATTGATTTTATTTTTAGATTCTTCACTGATAGTATCTAGGAATAGAACTGATTTTTGCATATTGGATTGTGTATCATGCAAACTTGTATTCGTTTATTTGTTCTAATACTTTTTACATGTATTCTTCGATTTTCAGTATAGAAGATAATGCAATGGGCAAATAGAGAAAATTTTACTTTTTTCCACTCCGGATGCCTTTTATTTTTTTCTTGACGAAATGCCCATATTTGGACCTACAGGACAATGTTAAATAGAAGTGGAGAGAACAGATATCCTGTCTTGCTCCTGATCTTAAGGGAAAAGTATTCAGTATTTCTCTATTAAGTATGACATTAACTGTGACTTTTTCATAGATGCCCTTTATCAGATTGAGGAAGTTCCCTTCCATTTCTAGTTTGCTGCATGCTTTTATCAAGAATGGGTGTAGAATTTTGTCAAATTATTTTTCCAATTCTAATAAAAAGATCATGTGGTTTTCATTTCATTCTGTTAGTATATTATTACACTGATTTTTTATTTTTAAACCAAACTGCTTTCCTGGGATAAGTATCAATTGATCATGGTGTATATAATACATTTTTATATGTTACTGGATTTGTTTTGCTAGTATTTTTTGACAACTTTTGTACCTATACTCATAAAGAATATTGATCTTTAGTTTTCTTGTGATGTCTTTGTCAGATTTTGGTATCTGTGTAATACAGGCCTTATAGAATGAGTTGGGAAGTGTTCCTTTCTCTTGTATTTTCTGCAATAGTTTTTGAAGGGTTAGTGTTAATTTTGTCTTTAAATATTTGGTAGAATTCAGCAGTGAAATCATCTAAAACTGGGGCTTTCTTTGTGGGATGTTTTAAAATTATGAATTCAACTTCTTGTCTTAGTTCAGGCTGCTGTAACAAAAATACCATAGAATGGGTAGTTTAGAAAGCAAACGGTTCTGGAGGCTGGGAAGTCCAAGATCAATGTGCTGGCAGATTCATTATCTGGTGAGGGCTCTCTTCCTGGCTTGCAGATGGCTGTGTTCTCATTGTATCCTCACATGGCAGTAGAGAGTAAACTCTAGTCTTGCTCTCTCTTATGACAATAATCCCATCGTGAGGACTCCACCTTTATGACATCATCTAAACCTAATTGTCCTCACCTCCTAATAACATCCACTGAGAGCTGTGGTTTCAACATATGAATTTTTGAGAGACAGAACCATGCAGTCCATAATACTTGTTACAGGTCTATCCAGATTTTCCATTTATTCTTAGTCAGTTTTGGCAGTTTGTGTCTTTCTAGGAATTTGTCCATTTCACATATGTTATTTAATTTCTTGGTGTGCAACTTGTTATGGACTCAATTGTGTCCCCCCATTATGATCAGGATCTTAATTTTTTTCCTATTTGGTATTTACACTTAGAACCATTTACAGAGGTTTTAATTGCTTTAAAAAAAAGTTTTCACCAGTTTCACTGAGAAGTCAGTGGAGATTCTCACATTGTCATGCTAGAAGTCAATCCTTTTAATTACTCTTTTACACTTCCTAAATTGCATTTTATAAGCCTTCCTTCATGAAAATTGAAACCTCCTAGGGGAGTTCACATGGGATATTTGTCTCCAAATGAATAACTTTAACCAGTATGATCCAGGCTTTATAAAAACTCTAAAAAAATAAAATCAAGCCACAAATTGAAGTATGTTTTAGAGATTAGAAAGATGCATAAAGGATAAGCAAGAAATTTAAAGGAATTGAATCATAAGGTCCACAGAAATAATTTAGTGATCAATTTCAGACTTGTACACTAAAGACAACTAAAACCAAGGGAAAAAATTGGCCAAAGCCACTCAGCAAGTCTCTGACAGAGCTAGGGCTAAAAGTAGCCCAGCAGGACACTATTATTACATGTGTAATAATAGGTAAGCACACAGGTTTTGGAAACAGGTTTCAGTGTAAACCCTGCCATTTATTATCAGTATGATCTCTTTGTTTTCTATACCTGTTTCCTCATCTACTAAATGAAGCTAATACCTTTCTAGTAGGGTCAATCTCTCAAGAAAAACAACTATTAATAATACAGCAAATCTGACATTAAAATCCCACCATCATCACCAATAATCCCTTGCAGCTCCCTCTTCCCAAAAGCAAAACTTATGCGGGGAATTGCCTAACCTGTTTCTGAGGCTATTTTGTTTGAAGGCATTTGACATCCAAACCCTGAACACTAAGGGATTTCATTCCTCATTCATTCTCCAAACTCCATTCTTCCCTCTCCTCTAGGTCTCAAAGTTTCCCCTTAGTTTTCCTTTCTCCCCTTACCCTGCACCATAATGAGAATAACTGATCCAGGCCAGGCTACTTCCATGTAAATACACATTGTCAAGCATACAGGCCAGGCCACAGAATGGTGTACAACCACACAGCACAAAGTTCTAACCCATATTTCTAGGTTATACTCTAATTCAAATATTAAAGTAGGTATAATCAGTTAGCCAAACCTGAATTGCTTCATCTAGCTAGAAAAATAAACTCTCCTATTTTGAAGGCCAAAATAAAGCAGAACTGATTTACTAGAAATTAGGCAGCAAGTCCAGGGAAAAATAATGTGCTCTATTTTCTACCCCTCTTCTGTTTGATTTTTATAGTCCTTTTTGTTGACATAAGAACTCAATAGTTTTATTTGTTAGAAACCAACATTTCTGTTCCTTGGATGATTAGAATGAGTAGGAGGTGATTAGAAAATATGGCATTGTGAAATATGAATGAGACCAACGTAAATGACAGAAACCAAATTCAACTTGGACAGTCTCAAGGGCTTTTCAAGCCCATTACAAAACCCTATTCCTTAAGAATAAAGGAGTGTTGAATCTACTATGTAACAAACACAAGTCCTTAAATTACATGAAACTTTTCCCCCTAACCACATTTATAACAGAGTTGTTATAAAATTCAAGTTACCAGGGGTTCAAATTCAATTTTACTGTACCTATAAGGCTACTCAAACTCCATCAACTACCACTCTGCCCCATAGTCTTAATTAGGAAAATATTCCAAATCATTAAACTTATATCAAAAAAGAATTAGTATATAAAAGTTGATAGTAAATGATTTCTTTTTGAAATTATCTTAATTTCCCTGGACATTTTGGATTTGGGGCAAGTTTTTTTAAATGAGGGTGCAAAGGAGGAGCAACAAATTAAATAACAAGTAAAATGCAGAGATAGTTTAAATAATGTTAAAAAACACCCCCCAAAAAACCTTAAACTAAATTAAACCCACAGGTTAAGTCAGGAACCCGGCAGCATTCTCTGAAAACTGTATCTGAAACTCATTTAAACTCAGACAGGAAAAACAGTTCTAGATTTTGCAACTGGCAAGAGAGCATAGCATGTGGAAGGTAGCAATAACTGATAAATTGTATATCATGCACTGTAAGCCTACTAGTGTACATTAGCAGAATTAACCTTCACAACAAGATAGGAGTAAATTCTCTACATTTTTCTTGAGCATTTACCCTTGTGCAAGTTTGCATAAGACATGCACTTTAAGAGTTCCACTAATTTTTCTACTTCTAAACCTGATATCTTAAAAAAGTTTAGGCCCTAATTAAAAAAAAAAAACAACAGAAACAGACTCATAGATACAAAGAACAAACTGATGGTTGCCAGAGCAGAGGAAGGTTGTGCAACTGGGTGAAAAGATTAAGAAATACAAATTTGTAGTTACAAATAGTCAAGGGGATGTAAAATATAGCAGAGAATACGAGGTCAGACAATTAAGTTCACGAACTCATCCTAGAAAAAAGTGCTACATACCTCATTGTTGAATATCACTACAGTCACCTTTGAAGTACTCCCCTTGGGAAGCTATGCACCGACACCAACACCAGTGCCTAGTTCACTCTTCAAAGCAATTTTGGAACTCTTTTCCTGGAATGGCCATCAGAGCTGTCATCATATTACCCTTCGTGTCCTGAATGTCATAAAATGTCTTCCTTTCAATATTTCCTTTATCTTCGGGTAAAGAAAGAAGTTATTGGGGGCCAGATCTAGTGAGTAGGGAGGGTGTTCCAACACAGTTATTTGTTTACTGGCTAAGAATTCCCTCACAGACAGTGCACTGTGAGCTGATGCATTGTTGTGATGCAAGAGCCATGAATTGTTAGTGAAAAGTTCAGGTCATCTAACTTTTCCACGCAGCCTTTTCAACACTCCCAAATAGTAAACTTGGTTAACAGTTGGTACAGTTTCATAAAGAATAATCCCTCTGATATCAAAAAAGGTTAGCAACATCATTGCAACAAGTTCATGAACTTAATTGTCTGACCTCATATAGTCAATAATATTGTAATAACTATGTATGGTGCTAGGTGGGTACTAGATTAATCGAAGTATCACTGTATAAATTATATAAATGTCTAACCACTATGTTGTACACATGAAACATATAAAATATTGAATGTCAACTGTTAACTGAAAAAAATAATTTAAAAAATTAGCCTCTAAATCCCACCTCCCTAAATTACTAAGAGGCATAAAGATCCACATCTCTCATAGACACAGAAAATAGTTTAGTGGTTACCAAAGGGGAAGGGGAGAGGGGAGTGGTAGATGAGGGTAAAAGGGATCAAATATATGTTGATGGAAAGAAAACTGACTCTGGGTGGTGAATACACAATGTGATATATAGATGATGTATTACAGAACTGTACACCTGAAATCTATGTAACTTTGCTAACAATTGTTACCCCAATAAACTTTCATTTTTAAAAAAAGGATCCACATCTCAATGTCCTTTTTATTAAATGACCTTAGCCAATCCAAAGGAAATGTGATCTTCAAGGTACACATGCACTACTTTGGAGTCTCCATTTCATGGGGAGTGGGAAGGAGGAAAATGGAACCAAACATTATCCCATTAAGATATAAAATGTTGGGCTGGCCGAGTGGTGCATTGGTTAAGAACTGACTTGGGATGCCAGAGGACCCCGGTTCGGATCCCACATATGAGGGCCAGTGACACTGCCCTCTACAGCTAAGATGCTGAACAACAGCTCAACCTGGAG